GACTTTCCGTTTTGAATTTTTCTCGGAGTTCGGTATTTTTGTTATTTTACTTTTTGTCATTGAATTAAACATTGTTCTCAACCTTTGGTATCCCCCCTTCATGCCCTTACATCCATACGGACACTCTCAGTCTCGGATCAATATTGTACAATGCTTTTTACGAAAAAAAAAATATAAATAAGAAGACATGTTTCCCAACGAATTATAATATAAACCATTGGAACAGTTTACCCGAAAATGTTGTGTCTGCAAAGATCGTTGATAACTTTAAAATACAGCTTGATCATCATTGAGAAGATGTTATGTACCAGTTGTAGTGATAAATTGGACGATTACTTTTATTACAAATTTTTATTAATATGAGTGGATTGGCATTAGGAAGAAATTAAATACCAGTTCTGAACCCCAGTTCTAGTGATTAATTTGGACTTCTTTAAATAATAACTATTTAAAATTTGAATTATTCGCCAACCAAAAGTGACCCATAAAATGCAGGATAATTATGAGTTTAGTTTTTAGAACAAGTACAAATCTGGGTGGGCTAAAAAAGGATTGAATTGCCTTACACATGAGCCCTTAAAAGATTCTACAGGTACATGTAGATGTGGTATGAGTGCCAAATTATGAGACAACTCTCCATCAAAGTCGCAATGTATTTCAAATTAACAATAAAAGGTCAAAGTATGGCTTTCTTCACTTTTAAAACTGTAGTTAAACCACTGTTTATTTTCTAGTTCACAGCTGGACCAACAAATTTCCTGTCTACAAAATATGGGTTTCGCCAAATTTTGGTACATTGTTATTTCCTCATCAGCATGATAGGATCATGAACACTCTTGATTTTCAAAGTCGAAAATCAAAGAAAGTGTTTAGGTGTAATACCACCATTGATTTTCCCCTATTAGTCTTTGTTAAATTTGCACTTTTCAAAAAATTGTGCAGAATTTATCTTTGTTTCAAATAAAGAAATACTTGGCATGAGTAAAGTTTGATCCTGTCCAGTACTATAGAAAAAATTTCACCTAACATTTCATTGCATATAAGAAAATAACCATCACTGGAAGTTAACCAATCAAATTTTCCCCCTTTTTTAACCTGTATACAAGCTTTAGTAACCATGTAACCTCAAGTTTCCAAAATATTCTATAGAAACCCCAAATAAAAAAATAATGGTGCTTTGAAATACCCAAGATATATGTTTATGACCCAGAAATGTTTTACTGCAATGAAATGTAGGATCAATTACCTACAACTGTCAAATTCAAGGGAATATTTTTTTTCGACCTATTTTCGTATGCAACCGGATGTGACGTACCATGATTTGGTGGTATTACACCTTTATGTCAAGTATATTGTCTTCAAAAGCTTCTGGGTCAAACATGCATATTCAAATGCAAAGAATATCAAGATAAGAGCTAAATTAAAACTATTTCTTCTTATCAAATGTCCCCCAGTATGTCCAGTAATTACAGCATTTTTTTAACTTCGGGAGGGCGGGCTCCGACTCTTAATTTTTCAGAACAGTTATATGTGAAAAAAAAATAATCTAAGACTGCTATTTTATTTTTATTTTTTTTACCTCCTCCGACCCTAACTTTTCACAGCAGTTGTCCGTAAACCAAGTAATTAAAAAAAAAGAGGCCCTGAAGCAAACTGAGAAGATTTTCCAACATTACAATGACAATGGACCACAAAAGGACAGACAGACTGAGGACAGAAACAAAGTGATGACAATGGCTGAACTGGTGTATACTATTGTCCATGTATTGAAATGGAATCATTTCAATAGGTATGTGTATCATTTCAGCTTTAATGATTAATAGTTGCTGATTTAAATGTGATGTAAATACTACATTTGTCAATTACAATTGTAAAGGACATACTGGAATATATGAAAATATGAAATAGAGAATGTGGAATCAGAAAATATATCACAGGGAATGACTTAAAAGAGATTCATCTTGCTACTGAATTACCAAGAAGCTAACATTTGTAGTTGCTAAGAATAATATGATATAGCATATGTAAAGGACAGACATGCTCTTACTAAAGAGTAAGGGGTGTTAAAGCAAATCAGCTTTGTACAAAATATCAAATATAATAATGCACTGACCTGTAGTTTCATAAAAGTGCAATGCATGTAAATTACATAATGTAATTGTAAATACAGCAAAAAAGTGAGGTATCTGAAAATATGTCAGACAGTATAGTAAAAGCAGATGAATTATGATACCAAATAAGAAAGGGATATGACATGAAGTTTCTAAGGAAAATACAACAGAAATGTGTGAAGAACTGTTGTTCAGATGAACATTTAAACTAGCATATCCCTCTCCTTAAGTGAAGATGAAGAGACATGGGTTCCAAAATAGACATATATTTGGGAATGACCTGCAAATTTTATTTTTGACTAGCTTGTGTACGGCTGAAGCAGACATCAAATGTGAGTTTGCCACTTTTCCATTCATAAAAGTGACATGAGTAGTTACAGTATAAAAATAAGCCATACCTTAATACCCTCTCATCAAAAACGGAAATAACTATCAATGTTAATTGGTTGCCTGACAGCTGAAATGTATCTGTTCACCTGACAGGTTAACTTTATAATACTGGACATCAGTTGTTTTTAAATTTATAAATAAATGAGTAGTACATAATAGCATTAAAAAGGTTTATAAGAGAAAAAAATCAACAGAACCATGTTGTTAACACAAGTACAAGCCTTCATGCATGTGCACAGGTGTGGAACTTAATTATGCATTCCAAAGCTTTCAGAATGTTGAAAAATGTCATTTAAAATAATTTATAGCATCTATCTCATGTTCATCTCAAATATTAACTTGAAAAAATATTGTGGAGAGATTTACTTAAAGTTGATGCTGACAAAATTACACAGATTTCAGGCATCTTTGTTCCAATATAGTATATGGTTGTCAAGTCAACATATGGTGTTAGAAACCATGTGCTTAAAACAAAAGTAAAATGTCTTCTCATTATGTTAAAGGGATTAAATAAAGCATAGCACAAAAGTAAAATCAGCTGATGTTCCACCATTGTTTTATACTATTAGTCTTTGTAAAATTGTCCTTTTTCAAAAAGAAATCTGCAGAATTTATCTTTGTTTCAAATAAAGAAATACTTGGCACGAGTAACATGAGTAAAGTTTTATCCTGTTCAGTACTACAGTGAAACTTTTACATAACATTTCCATTTTCAAGAAAATAACCATCACCAGAAGTAAATCAATCAACTTCTCATCCCTTTTTTTCCTGTTTACAAGCTTTAGTGAACCATATCACCTCAAGTTTTTAAAATATCTTAAAGGAACACCAAATAAAAAAGAATGGTGCTTTGAAACGACCAAGATATATGTTTATGATTCATTAAATTTTAGTCGAACTACTGTATCACTAGCCTGTCAACACTGAGGTTGTGAGTTCAAATCCTGCACGGGGCAGGTGCACTCGACTCCAATCTTAATTGTCTAGGATAGTCTGTTTTCCTACCAAATCTCAGGGCACTCCGCCTTCCTCCACCTATAAAAACTGACCGCCACGAAATAGCACAATAGTGTTGAAAGTGGCCTTAAACACCAATCAATCAATCAATCAATCATTAAAATATTTCTGAAATTAAATGCAGGGTTGATTTCCTACAACTGTTAAATTCAAGGGAATATTTTTTTACCCATTTTAGCATGAATCCGAATGCGACATACTATGTTTTGGTGGTATAACACCTTTGCAGTAAGTTAACAGAATTATCAATGATGACCTTGATTGTATTTAGTAACATCATCTTAAGAGATAATAAAATGCTCGACTGGGGCGCAGCTTGATACGACCGCAGAGGTCGAACCCTGAACAGTTGGGGCAAGTATGGACACAACATTCAAGCTTGATACAGCACTGAATTTGGATTGTAATTAAATATTTGACACAGCATAGGTTTCTGACACAGAATGAATGTGGTCTAAGAACTTAAACATTTTTAATTTACCTAATCAAACAATTTTAAAGAAAATAAAGGAAAAAAAAAATCCCCCCCCCAAATTTTTTGAACCCCCTTATGATTCATCACCCCCAAACTCAATCCCAGCCTTCCCTTTGTGGTATGGTACCTTGCATTACAATTTCAGAGAGATCCATAAACTTGAACACAAGTTATTGTCTGGAAACTAGAAAAATTCTTGTTTTTGACCCCTTTTTGGCCCCAAATTCCTAAAATTTTGAGGCAATTACCCCCAAACTCAATTCCAGCTTGTCCTTTGTGATATGGTACATGTACCTTGCAGTACAATTTCAGAGAGATCCATACACTTGAACACAAGTTATTGTCTGGAAACTAGAAAAATGCTTATTTTTTGCCCATTCTTGGCCCCTTATTACTAAATGTTTTGGGCAATTACCCCCATCATCAATCCCAGCTTGTCCTTTGTGATATGGAACCTTGTAGTACAATTTCAGAGAGATCCATACACTTACACACAAGTTATTGTCATGAAACTAGAAAAATGCTTGTTTTTTGCCCCTTTTTGGCCCCTAATTCCTAAAATTGTGAGGCAATTACCCCCAAAAACAATTCCAGCATTGCCTTTGTGATATGGAACCTTGTGGTACAATGTCAGAGAGATCCATACACTAACACACAAGTTATGTCTGGAAGTTACAAAAATGCTTATTTTTGGCCCCTAATTCCTTTACTGTTATTACCATAACCCCCAAAATCAATCCCCACCTTCCTTTTGTGATATTGAACCTTATCGTAAAATTTCATAGAGATCCATTCACTTAAACTAAAGTTAGAGTGCGAAAACCAATGTGTCTTCGGACGACGACAACGCCAACGTCATACCAATATACGACCGCAAAATTTTTTTGCGGTCGTATAAAAAACAGGATTGAAAATAATAACAGCTGGCCCACTTTTATTAGAAAACACTGAAGAAAACACATTTTAATTGAAAGATAATTTCAGTACAACACTGAGAACCAGCCTACCTCTGTTTGAATCAGTGACTGGGGTAACTGAAGTAGGTATATCACAGTCTGTTTATACAACTGAAAAGAGAAAACAAATTATATTGTCTTATATATGTTATCATTTGTAAGAGAGAAAAGAATTTAGCAAAAGCAAATGTCACCCCATAAATCAATTACCATTGTAATGACAGCCATTTTGAAATATACATTAATAAGTATGACAGGTCACCCTTCTGTAAAATCTAATTTAGTTTGAAACATGTTTGCTGTTTCCATGGCAACGTTATGAATTAAAAAAAATTCACATCTTCATATTACAAGTAGAATGCATATTTATAACATTTCATTGGGTTGGATCTAATAATCTTTAGGAAAATGTTCTTTCGATGTGTTTCCCCAAAGGGTTCTATGTAAATCTATTCCCATGTTTCAATAGTAACAATGGCCATTTTGAATTTTCAAATACCTGTTTCATATGGTATTTTGAACACCTGTTAATTGAACCCAGGGTCAAATAACCATATGGAATATTGACCCTGGACTAAAAATACCATATGGAAATTTGAACCCAGGATAAATTTTCAACAGCAGGAAATTGAATCCCATGTATTTCCTTACAATGAATGTCAAATGTCAAAAGTACATGAGGTTAAGCACCATTACTATTTAAGTAGTTTGAATAGCTATGACAATTTGAAAATCTGAGGTCAGGAACCTGATGTACAGGGGTTGTCGTTTGTTGATGTGGTTCATAAGTGTTTCTCGTTTCTCGTTTTTTTATATAGATAAGACCGTTGGTTTTCCTGTTTGAATGGTTTTACACTAGTCATTTTTGGGGCCCTTTATAGCTTGCTGTTCGGTGTGAGCCAAGGCTCCGTGATGAAGGCCGTACTTTGACCTATAATGGTTTACTTTTACAAATTGTGACTTGGATGAAGACTTGTCTCATTGGCACTCATACCACATCTTCTTATATCTAAGTTTATATGTCAGCACTAACTCTAGTGATGTAAGGACTTTCTTATAATTTGAGAAAATATAATAGATTGTGTTTTAGACATTAGATGACACAACAGTACAATGAAATGGTAAGAAATATTTCCTGATTGTGAGTATGAATGTTAATCATGTAATATTTTAGCGAGGAATTATCTTTTTGTTTATTTCCAGTTCAAATCAATAAAATCAAAATTTGAGTTACAAATCAATTTTATTTTACAGCCAATATTTTAGTCCAGTCCTTTACATCAAATACTTCTTCATTATGTCAGGGAAATGTTCAAATACAATGCCTTTAAAATAGTTTAAAATAGATTCAAAAGTTAAACTAAATTCCTTTTTTTAGAATTTTATCAGAATATTGGAAATTACTATTCTCACCAATCGCGGATCCAGTAAGCTGAGTTTTTGAAAGAGTAGAAAATTAAGGTTTTATTTAATTTTAAACCTTTGTTTTTTTGGGGTTTTTTTTGCACTGCATTGCTTTGATATTGTTCATTTTTCTTTTTTAGTAATTTGAAGTTATTAATATTCTCATAATAACGTTAACGGTACCAATGTTACTGCACCAGTAAACTTCATCCTATTTTGATTTTTTTGTATGTTTCAAATTTTAACTTTTAGTCAGTTTTAATCACAAATTCTTTCAACCTGATAAACGTGCTTCGGAGCATTTGTAACTCATTTATAGAAACTCTTTGTTTTGAACTGTAAGTAGACCTAAACAATAGGATAATCCCTTACTAAGAACATGATTTCATTCATTCTTCACAATTAAGAAACACCAAATCCTACAATTTCATTGGTCGAGAGCACTTTGCTATATTCTAATCATGTTTATAATAATACATTGAACTTCTTGACTGTAAATTAACTATGTGTAAATATCTGTTTTTGATTGTATTGTAATTTGTATGTGAGGGCCTCAGGGAAGATTAGTTTGTTGTAACTAACTTTGTACGACTTTGCCCCCCGTAGAGCTATAGAAAAACAGTACAATAAGGGGTGTTACACAGACACTTTTTTATGAAGTTACAAGGACACATGATGAACATATGAATAGAGTCACTCGTGCATTCAGTGAGTTCATAGGCACTTTATCGTACACCTTGTGGCCTAATTACCTTGTTTTATAAATACAATTTATATGAAAGTGTTCATAAAAAAGCTAACTTTGCCCCAAAATGCTGAAATTAAATAAAGTATCTACGAAGTTACTGACTGCTACAGTAACTGCAACCATAAAATGTTTCCATGTACAAACCTCTCGTGTGTTTGCTTTGCAATTAAGCTGAAATCTTTTAAATCGTCTCAATCGAAATATACGGAGGATTTGTCCTTTTCTCTTTATGTTCAAGGAATGTGCTTGAGTCGAATTGTGATAGTGCAAAATCAGTCTCAACGTCAATAAAATTCCACCCATTTTGGATATAGGGATGGAAAATGGAAAAAATACTGTGTCACGTGATCAATACTTGGGTCTAGTAGACATTTTTTGTCTTATCCCGATTTCAGTCCCTAAAGACTTAGTAACAACAGGCAAGCAGTTTAATCAGTTGGGCTTCATATCAATGATTGACACAAAAACGATTTTAAACTTGACTTTTGATATAAATTCGATGTTCTGACGTAAACTGCTCAATTGACGGTGTATCATTCGAAGTGTGCAATATCAGCGTACTAATATCTGCCTTAGACTCTTTATTTGTGGAAAATTACGCTGTCAAAAACTTCGCTTTCGATTTTAAAAAACACATTTTTCTAATAACAGATGTTGACTTGGCAATGGTAAACCATTGACCAGAGACGGATATGTAAAATCCGTGTACGTTTACAAAGCACGACTGAGTTTAAGTAGCTCATTCCACGTTATTTCTTCAGGGAAATACTCGAAATGAACGTTAGATAAAGGTGTCAATGATAATTATAGCATTTTTGAAAAATTTGGATGCATAATTAAACCTCACACCTGTGCACATGCGCACACATGTACTAGTTCAAACAACGTGGTTCTGACGATTTTTTCGCTTACAACCTTTTTTATTTTTTCATCAAATCATGTTCATATACGTATTTCTGATAATCTAAATCTTTTCAGCTAAACTGATTAGATGCAAAACGCTGAAAATTAAATATAACTTTTAAATAAATAGACCGATCAATGTCCGGTACAAAATAGTTTACCTGTTGCGTGTAAATTATGATCTTATCGTTTTACATACGTTTTTCTGATAGTCTCAATCTATTTTGCTAAAAAGTAGTTAGATTTACACCAGGAATGTTTTTAATTTAAATAAAAAAATAACTTCCAATAAAATGCTCCGCTGGGGCGCAGCTTGATACTACCGCAGAGGTCGAACCCTGAACAGCTGGGGCAAGTATGGACACAACATTCAAGCTTGATACAGCACTGAATTTGGATTGTTATTAAATATTTGACACAGCATAGGTTTCTCACACAGAATGAAAGTGGTCTAAGAACTTAAAAATTTGTAATTTACCTATTTAAACCATATCATTATTATTTGCTTTTATATATAAATCAGAAATAACAAATTTAAAATGGAAAATTTAAATGAAAAAAAAGGAAAAAAAAAATCCCCCCAAATTTTTTGAACCCCCTTATGATTCATCACCCCCAAACTCAATCCCAGCTTTCCCTTTGTGGTATGGTACCTTGCAGTACAATTTCAGAGAGATCCAAACACTTACACACAAGTTATTGTCCTGAAACAAGAAAAATGCTTGTTTATTTGCCCTTTTATGGCCCCTAATTACAAAATTTTTTAGGGAATTACCCCCAAAATAAATCCAAGCCTTCCCTTTGTGGTATGGTACCTTGCAGTACAATTTCAGAGAGATCCATACATTTGAACACAAGTTATTGTCTGGAAACAAGAAAAATTCTTATTTTTGGCCCCTTTTTGGCCCCTTATTCCTAAACTTTTTGTGCAATTACTCCCAAACTCAATTCCAGCTTTCCCTTTTAATATGGAACCTTGAAGTACAATTTCATAAAGATCCATACACTTACACACACTTAATTATTGTCATGAAACTAGAAAAATGCTTGTTTTTTGGCCCTTTTTGGCCCCTGATTCCTAAAATTTGGAGGCAATTACCCCCAAAATCAATCCCAGCATTCCCTTTGTGATATGGAACCTTGTGATACAATGTCAGAGAGATCCATACACTTACACACAAGTTATGTCTGGAAGTTACAAAAATGCTTATTTTTGGCCCCTAATTACTTAACTGTGGGTACCATAACCCCCAAAATCAATCCCCACCTTCCTTTTGTGGTATTAAACCTTATGGTAAAATTTCATTGAGATCCATTCACTTAAACTAAAGTTAGAGTGCAAAAACTAATGTGTCTTCGGACGACAACAACGCCGGACGACGACAACGACGACGACGACGCTGCCAACGTCATACCAATATACGACCACAAAAATTTTTTTGAGGTCGTATAAAAAGATCGATCGAAGTCCGGCACACATAGTTTACCTGACACAGATGACCACAGGAATATCTCACCTGTTAGACACTTAATGAACCTTTGATTGAATAGAGAGGGGATTATAGTAGGGCTTGTTTATAGAGTACTGTCACTTCAATGACCGGAAAAGTGTGTCTGTGCAAGGCACAAGGTCAAGTCAAAATGGTAGATTTTTTGGAGTCACATGATTATTGAAATGGCAAACCTTCAAAGGATGTCCGTTTCATGCTTGGCCCAGTCGGACAATGTCCGATAAATTTACATTTGTCCGGCAAATATGACCCGTTTTGGAAGCCTTGAATTAAGACCCCGTCTACTCGAATATGTCATTACTGCAATGAGCATGAAATTAAAAAAAAAAAAAAAGATTTCCAAAATAAGTGGATAAAAAAATTTAAAACGAGACAAAATAAATTATCTTTTGATTGAATGTTATTTCCCATAAAACAGAGAAACAGCTTTTTTTTTTTCTATATTTCTATATATTTTTTTCTTTTTTCTATTGATTTTGACAATATATTTATACATGTTGTATTTACGTTTGTCTGATTACTCTTTCTTATTTCATTTGCATATG